ACCTGCGCGAAATCGAGCCCAAGGAATCGATCCTCAAGCCCGCTGCCCCCGCCGGAGCAGACCCCATCGTCGCCGGAACAACCCCGGCACCCCACCGGTAGCCGCCCGGCTGCCCAATCCCGAAGCCCGACCAAACAGCCCTATTGGGTGATTCGCAGCCACCCGGACAACCATCAATTAGCCCCAAACGGTCCAATCCAACCCAATTGTACCCAATTAAATCCAAACAACCCAATTGAATCCAATTGAACCTGTTAGGACCCAATTGCACCCAATTGGACCCAATTGGTGCCAATTGGATCCAATTGGTCCAAATCAAGAGGCTGCCTAGTTCTGGCCACCTCGCCGCCGCCGTTGCCGGCGGTCGCCGGAGGTGATGACGGAAAACAGCCCCCAAACACCCTTTCCATAATTTCAACACAACAATCACAAATTCTCAATCAAATCGCAAGATTATACGCCAAGGAAGTTCTAATCTACGAATTAATTTCTAACGGAAGGTATAGAAACCACAAATCACCTCGAAATTGAAGAATCAAAAACCAAATCGGAAGAGAGGAGCTCGCCGATGCACTCCCTGTTGCGGCCGAATCTACCACGCGACTGGGGAAGGAGGGGCGGTCGCTGGCGCTGGTTGCCCTGGGATGGAGTTCGCCGGTCGCAGTGGCGTCGCTGGAAGACGTCGCCGGTCGAGAAGCGCCTGGGCAGGGTAACCGGGCGAAAACGGAAACAGAGCTAGAGAGATGGTCGTCAACGTAACCCCCTTCTAATAAATATAAAATTAAATAGGTTCTTTTAGGGTCCAGTTTACACATCTTAACCAATTAAGATAGGTTTGAGCCTAATTATCTTATTTGTCACTCGTATCTTAGGCCCAGTAACTCCGATTCTCAATTCGTTCAGAACAGCGAGCCCCACAACGTAGGTCAACTCTCATATTAAATATGAAAATTAGAAAATAATCTTGGTATTGACCGACTCAGTAATTAATTAATTATATAAATTAATTAAAAATACTAAGTCGGGTTTCGAGGCGTTACAGCAGATTTCTGACCAGACTATGGAAGAAGGTGGGGTATGGAAATGGCTTATCCTCCCCCTCGTCGCTAGACTGAACCAGCATGGGAGTGGGTGACGGTTTGCAATCGACCACTCTTGCTTGATGTAGCAATTCTATAACATATTTCACCTGAGAAAGTAGCAAGCCATCCCCCGTTTGTTTTACTTCTACGCCCAAAAAATAGTGAAGGGGACCAAGATTTTTCACCTGAAACTCCCGCTAAAGGGACTAAATAAAGGTGTCGATCAACCGAAAGAGCTACCTGTAACAATAATGTCATCAACATAGAGGAAAAGAATGAGAATGCCCTGAGAGGCATGCATAACAAAAAAGCCGGTATCATGCGATTATCCCGGAATCCATAGTCGAGAAGAATGCTCGACAGACGTTGGTACCATGCTCAAGGAGCCTGCTTGAGACCATAGAGAGACTTTTTCAAATGGCACACATAATGAGGGAAGTACTGGTTAATATACCCCGGGGGTTACTGCATATATATCTGCTCAGGCACCCGACCATGAAGAAAGGCATTAGAAACATCTAGCTGATGGAGTCGCCAATCGTGAGTGACAGCTAGTTCAAAAATCACACGTATAGTCTGTTATTTCACAAGAGGACTAAATGTTCTAGAATAGTCAAGTCCATACTTTTGAGTATATCCTTTAGCTACCAAGTGTCCTTTATACGAGGAAATTGAACCATCAGCATTATGTTTAATTTTATAAACCCACTTACAACCAATTAGAACATGATCCCTAAGAGGTGGAAAAAGTTCACATGTGTTCTGATTCATCAAGGCTTCAAATTCTTCATTCATAGCCTGACATCAATAGCTATTTTGGAGGCCTCTTTGTATGTAACCGCATCATTAATAGGAGGTGTAAAGGAAGGCATAGAAGCGGCATAAATCTTGGGTTTAAATATACCACTGCGGGCTCGGGTAGTCATGGGATGACGTGGTGGACGTGGAGTTCAGGATGGGACAGGTGACGATTCGGGACTTGTTGGGAAGACTGCAAAATTGAATAGGGGTAGTGGGTGAAGGAAGGCTGAGAAGTAAGTACATACTGCATAGTTGGGATTTCAGGTCGGGTTGGGAGGGGTGGGTTGGCTTCGGGTTGGGTGGTGAGTGGTTGGGCTATTTTGGATGGTAGGATTGGGCTAGGCTAAAACCGTGAGTCAAGTTGTGGAAAGCTCGGTGGGCTGGGCTAGGCAGTGTTGTTATGGGAGGGGCCGGTGGTGCTCGGTCGAGGGTCCCTGTGAGTAGGGGTGTTCATCGGTCCAAGACTGAACAGAATCGGGCTGACCCGGACCAAACTAAAGATTGAATTGATTAAAATCACGGACTGAAGACCGGACCTAAATCTATTCGAGTTTGGACCAGGCCAGACTGAAATACTTCGAATCGAACTGGTTCAGACCGATTGGATCGAATAAAAATGAATTTTTTTAATTATTTTGATCAATTAAATATATTTTAGGTTTTGATGGTTTGTCTTTCAAAAAAATATTTTATGCTTTTTATTTTGTAGCGTACAAATAGGAAAAAAAATATACAACTTAAAAATAGATACACAACATGGACCACTTCTATGTAGAATAATAAAACCTAATGTGAAACTTTTTTTTGAACTTTTTTTTTTAAAATTTCTTAACAAAAACTTTTTAAATAAATAAATTAAAATATCTATTCAAGTAAAGCATCAAAGTGTATTGTGGAACTTAAAAAGTTTAGTTTACGTATTTATGTCTTTTAGGTCCAATAGTATTAGGTCCATTCGGTCCAATCGGTCCGAAACTAAATCATTTTGGGTTTGGACGGGACCTGACCAAAACCCGAACTCCTAAATTTTTTGGACCCAAGACTGAATCGAAATCCATTTGTTCTGGATCAAGCGGTCTGATTCGGTCGGTTTTTCGGTCCAGACCTAAATGTGAACAGTCCTACCTGTGAGCGGTGGTGTAGTCTGAAGAGACACTATTAGGGAACAGGGATATTTCCTCTTTCCGTATTCGTTTAAAGAGGAAATATCCGCATTTATTTTAAACGGATATTATCTGTATCTGATTAAGGATATCCGATTGCTAAACGGATACGAATTTGGTAATTGTATATCCGATCCGATTAAAATCCGGTCTGAATATGCATTCGTTTAAAAAACCGTTTATCCGAATATCTGATCTGTTATATATAGTTTTCCTAATTTTTTATGTTTATATTTTGTTTCTCTATTGATATTTCAAAGCATAAAACTTTTTTATATACAAAATAAATGTGTAGACACGTAAAAATATGTGCAGACATATAAAAATATGTGTATATGTGTGTTGTGTATATCTTTTTATCATAGAATTATCATAGAATATCATAATTCATGAAAACAAAGAAAATAATTATCCCATAATAAATTATAGTTGATTTAATAATAGTTTGACTTTAGTCTAATTTAAAATTAAAATATTGTTTAATTTGGTTTTGGAAATTGGAAACGGATATGGATATATCCGATATCCGACCGATATCCGACGGATGCGGATACGGTTTTGATTTTCAATATCCGTCAAGATCCGTATCTGAATTCGATATCCGACAAAAATAAACGGATACGGATTTGGTGATGACACAACCGATCCGATTAATATCTATTTACACTCCTATCTAACATCTGTTTACACTCCCTAGTATATGTGATTTGGCTCTTTTTAGTTTTTACTAGGGAGTCTACTAAAAAAATACTTTTTCACAATAAAATCTTAAAGTTTTCGAAATTTAACTAAAAAATGAAATAGTGAACATTTTAAAGAGACCAAACACAAAAAATAGAAAAATAAACAAATTTTGGAAAATGAAAAGGATGTTGTTGAAATCGGCCAAAACTATACCCACTCTTTTCAATTAAATTGGTTAAATATACACTAATGTCAAAATTATATTAATTGGTATAGATTAAGCACATTCTAAAAAAGAATAAATCACACCTAAATAAAGTAAAACATAGACAAAGTACCAAAATAAGAGTTTTATATTTTTATCTTTCAAAATAACAATCTGGACAATGGTAATATGACACAATATATAGGCAATTCATCATAATATTTTCGGTAATATATATGGTAATGCTTTATATTGTATATGCATTTTAACTTATATTTTTTGGAATAAAAAATATAGATTTTTTTTAATATATTCTCATTCTTTACTTTTACATTAATCTTTTTCTCTAAAAGAAATGAAGAAGTGAAGATATAACAGTGAATTTAGCAATATCCAAATGAAAATCTCAAAACTAGACGTGGCAAAAAATGACCTGACCTGTTTTTGACGCGAAACCCGACCTGAAAACACTGGGTTTTGAACAAGGGTTTTGATGACCGAACTCGAAATGACCCGCTAAAGATGGGTCAAATCCGACCGAATCCGAACCCGACCGACCCGATAAAGTAAGAGTTTTTCAAAATCATATACTTTACTACTCTTTTTTAATGTATATATTTATGTTTTCAGACAAAATTTTAATGATATTGCATAATTATCTTACTTTTTCTAAAACTTAATTAAGCATTTTTTAAGTTCCTTATATTGATTTGTATATCTAAAAGTTACTTCAGAATTTAAAATAAAATCATCTAATAGATTTAATACATATGTTTTGATATTTTAAATTTATTTAATACAAAATACAAGTGTTAATATGAATTTAAAAATTAAAAAACCAAAGACATAACCTGTTGGGTCAACCCGAACTTGAGGACACTGGGTAATGAACATACAGTTCTCAACCCGAACATGAATTAATCCAAACCCAAAATAACCTAAACTTGAAGTTACTGAATCCAAAATTTGAACCCGAGCTGACCGAACGATTTGACAGTTTTACTCAAAACTCAAGCTGGTCATGAGCAAAGGAGCAACGAACAAATTTTATTGAGTAAAGGAAAAGGTAATCCAAAAAAAACGCGAGGAAATGATTACGGAGGGTATAAAAGTCTATAAGGCAATCAACTTATCTTCGGGGGCGTTTTCGTCTTTTAAAGAAAAGATAACAGCTCTTCACGTGACTGCTCTTTTACACCCTCCGATGTGATGACACGCGTCCGCAGATTAAGGAACTTCACCGACACGTCAGCATGCGACACCCCCGATCTTATCCCTTCGAACGAGCTCTGCGATCCGCCGTAGATTGGTCTCAGGCCCAAATCGACGGTCTCCGTTCGTCGTCTACGGCGCCGGCTCCTCAATAAATGCCCCCCTCCAACAGATTGAACAGAACGCGCTCGAGAAGAACTCTCAGTCCGCCATGAACTTGCTCAACCATCTCTGGGATGATACCGTCGCCGGCCCCCCACCGGACGACGGCGGCGGCCTCGGCAAACTTAGGAAGTTTTCCGCTTTCAATTCACGTCCGGATTCCCGAAATGGTACGCCGGAATATGTATCAATCTAATCGAATTACTCCGTCTGTGTTTAAGGATCTGAAATTGAATTTCGAGTCGGTATTAATGGCGATGAATTCATATATGATAAGCTGGTTCAATTATCTCACATATTTTTGGATATCGGATCGTATTCGGATCTGTGCGATCTTCTGATCCGGAGAGTTTTCTGAGTGCAGAATCAGAGAGTCCGAATCCGAGATCACTGACCGTTGACACAACTGACGACGGCATGAAGGTGACCAGGAGTATCAAGATACTGAAGTCGCCGCGTAACCAGAGCAAGGATTCGCCTCCGTCGTCTCCGTCGCCGTCGCCGGCGGGATCTACTCCACCGGTATCTCCCTTCTCCTTCTCCGGTAAGCTTTTTACCGATTCCCAAATTCATTGACATTTATTTACTCTTATTATTAAAGAAATGCGTATTACTAGGATGATTTCATCAGTGGGTAATCTGGATTAAGAATGGTGATGGGTGATTTGGTCCACATTCATGGATAATGTCCACGTTTCATCAACGAGTAGATGATAGAGACGTGTGTAATTAATTATTGGCTTATTGCTAGGCTTTGTCACTCTATTTCCGACTATTATTGGATTGTACATACCCCTCTCTCCATAAATAATTTCAGTGATTATATGTTTCCATCTTTCCAAATACTCTAATAAAAGTGATGGTTTGATTTTTGTAATCTAAGCTTCGTCAAATATCACCACTAGTTATTCAAAATCCTAATGAGTCATAATCATATTGTTTTACAGATCGGAGTATAATTATCAAATGTAATGTTAAAAAAATGAGTAAATTCCCAAAATAGTCCTTTGTAATAAGGGATTTTCCCAAATTAGTCCTCAATAAGTTTTAATTACCTACATGGTCCTCTATAATTGAGATTTATTTCCAAAATAGTCCTTTGTAATAAGATATTTTCCCAAATCAGTCTTCAATAAGTTTTAATTACCTAGGTGGTCCTCTATAATTGAGATTTATCCCCAAGATGGTCCTTCATAAATAATGTTCCTCAAATGAGGATTAATTAAGGTTATTTTTTCTCTGCTAAATTTAGAATTAATTTTTAAAATAATCATTTATAATGAAGTGCTTTCCCAAAATGGTTTTTCTAATTAAAGATGTGTATTTGATTTGAAATTTAAAAGATTTTTTNTTAAATTTCAAATCAAATACACATCTTTAATTAGAAAAATCATTTTGGGAAAGCATTTCATTATAAATGATTATTTTAAGAATTAATTCTAAATTTAGCATAAAAAAATAACCTCAATTAATTCTCATTTGAGTAACATTATGTATGAAGGACCATCTTGGGGATAAATCTCAATTATAGAGGACCACTTAGGTAATTAAAACTTATTGAGGACTGATTTGAAAAAATACCTTATTACAAAGGACTATTTTGGGAATAAATCTCAATTATAGAGGACTATGTAGGTAATTAAAACTTACTGAGGACTAATTTGGGAAAATCCCTTATTACAAAGGACTATTTTGGAAATTTACTCTAAAAAAATTGATGCCTAAACAAATTTATAAACAAAGATTTTGTGATCCAGTAAAACAACTCGGATCTCTTGATTGGCATATCACAACTTCAAACTTCTATAGAGACGTTACGTTGCCTTTTTGTTTTTAGGAAGTTGAAAAATATTTATGAAGATATACTATTTGGTATTAGTTTCATAAAACGGTTCCTATTTTGATTCTCAGAAAAAATAGGGATTCTATATTTGTAGTTGACTTGTCAATTTTGATTTTGATGTAATGGGTAGAATATTAGTAAAACATATAGTGTGATAGGTAGGATAAAAAAATAAGGATAAAAATACTTTTTAAATGGAAAGTGAAAGTGTGTTAGAGTAAAAAAAATGAAAGATGAAACATTTTAAGAAGGAACGGAGGGAGTACATTGTAAGAAGTCAAAATGGTGAAAGTATATCTTCTATTCTTATTGAGTACTCCCCTACCCAAGTAAAAGCCCAAATAACTATTCATATGCTCAAAATGTATCTTGTTTTTATAATATTGTTGTAGAATTTTTTATCCATTTAATAATGGGTGGGAATGGGTGTTTTTTTAAACTCCACCTGCCAATTATTACTCGAATTAAGCTAAGGTACACCAACATGGGGTACACCAAGTGTACACTAAAGCCAACACAAGCACACAGACACAAAGTGTGTGTGTTGCACAGACATTTTGTGTCTGTGTGTGCCTGTGTTGGCTTACACTTGGGGTACCCCATGTTGGTGTACCCCTAGCATTGCCCTTATTACTCAGCTCCCTAAATGGGAAAGATGTCGGGGCGTAGCACAGTTAGCAATAAGGTAAGGGGTGTGAAGGGGTAGCTCCCAAATTCGATTCCTTGCAACAATTATTATTAAATCATATGTTTTTTTTAAATGAGCAATATAATACTCCCTCCGTCCCATGAAACCTTTCTCCTTTCTTTTTTTTATCCGTCCCACAAAACACGTCTCATTTCTATTAAAAAGTCACTTTTACCCCTTACTTTTTCATACCCTAACTATCACATCATACCTTTTTACTAATAATCTATCCATCAAATCATACTTTTACCCATCACATCAAAGGACATTTTTGGAAATTCAATACCAAAATACACTCCCCTTAAATCCTTTCTAAAAAGCAAAAGTCTCATGTTTCATGGGACGGAGGAAGTATGACTAATGAGACATCATTTGTTAGTGTTCTATAATGACAACCTAGGTCGGATCCACCTCCTTTGTTGTTTACTTAATTGGAGCCATGGGTACTATTTTTCTCTTGTCCTCTACTTTTGAGCTTAAGAAAGGAAAAACTGAATGTAATAATTCAGTTGAACTCTCTTTCATTGGGAGAGGAGAATAAGTAAGGAAAGAAAAATGTTAAGAAAAAAAACGAACACATACAAATATATATTGAATTAAAAATAAATTCAATCAAACATCGTAAATTAGACACCTTAGAGTAATGTTGCGCACCAATAGTAAAGTAAAATTACGCTCCCAAATTCATCAGTCCTTCAGTGTATGCTCGACGCATTCAGTCCCCTCCCTCCTATATTAAAAAATGAAATATTTTAAATTCATTTTATAAATGCTTATTTTAGTTTATGTAAATAGAAATTACCCCGGAGTACATTTCAAAAAGTGTACTTAGCTTTGTCCATCTCATTTTATAAATATTTATTTTAGTTTATGTAAAAAGTATAATTTCCACCGTACCATTGTTGTGTTGTTACAATAGGCTTGGGAGGGAAGGAGGCGTATCGGTTCAGGAGGAAATCCGCTTCATACGAGGATGCCCGAGGGGTCGGACCCAGAAGCCCTCCTCCTCCTTACGACGTGTGAGATATGATCTCGATGAGGCTGCGGCCTAACCTTTTCGGCTCTCTTCTTCTTTTCTTCTCCTTGTGGTGTCGTTGAATGCTTGTGAGATTTCGGGTTTTTGTGTGGTTGAGCATGTCCTTGTGAAGTCTTTCTTTCTTTTTCTTTAGCTTGTATATATTGTGCATGTGTGCTTTGCTTTTCTCGGTAAGCTATACATATCCTAGTTGTAACAAAATGTACGTAGTACGTGTATGTTCATGCATCCCTTTTTCCAGAGTAATGTTAGTGTATTTTGCTTGGCATAAAAATAAGAATGTGTGTTTTTGCTCCATCCAATTCCCTCGCAACTTCCAGAAAACTGTCTAATGGCTACGGTATTGTAGCAATATTTAGGGACGGAGGGATTACAATCTTTAAAAACGTTGTCAAACGTTCTATAAAACAAAAATGTGAGAAAAAAATATATTTTATTTTATCAAATAATTAATAAAAATGTACAAATAAACAAAAATTTATGAGATCTTTGAATAATAAAGTGTGACAGTCTTTTTGGGATGGAGGAGTAAAATAATATATCCTAGAGAGTTGTGTTTCTTATTTTGTAAATTTTATTTTGAATTCTATTTTAAACCAAGTACGGAGTATATTTTAAAAATAATTTTATTTAACATTTTATTTTTTTTTTAAATAAGTTGATTTAAAAATAAATCAATTAAACATCGTAATTCATTTTTTTATTTTAATTATGGGACGAAAGGAGTATATAATAATGCCTGTCGTAAACACCCTTAAAATAATTTATTTAAAATATTTTTTTCAAAACATTGGAAAAGTCTATGGTTAACGTTTGGAGAAATCTCGTTTAGTTTTTTTTTTTTTTGAGAAAAATCTTGCATTTAATACTTTTTCCTTTAAGTACGGAATATAAACTAAAGATATTCAAATGAAAGTTAGCGTTACATTCCACGTTCTATTGCGTTTTTTCCAGACATCTCGAACCCAAATTATAAAAGCTAAAACAACGGATTGGAGACCCATTTTCTGGGGCTCATATATACCCAAATTATAAAGATTTCTTTATTACGGAGTAGCTTTTAATTTGCACTAAATAGGACTAAAACATAATGACTTTCCCAATGTAGGACTTAAACTTTTTTATTCCCTAAATAGGACTTAGTAATGACCTAGAGGGAGGAATAATGTCCTGTAATGATGGACATTTACTTGAATAATGACTACTTGATAATGACTAAAAGTCCTACATTGGGAAATAAAAACATATGGTCCTATTTTGGGAAAGTCGTTATGTTTTAGTCCTATTTAGGCAAATTTCTCGGACACCAAATGAAAATCATTAATAGAGGTAATTAGTATCAATGCCTTTAAACAAAAGCAAAAGAAAAAAATTCATGAGGCAAATTAAAATATTCCCTTGAAACTAAAATTAAATTTTTCGTCAAATTACTTAGACGCTTCACATTTTGATGGTTCAAGACTGAATTAACTATTTTACATTATCCTCATCATCCTCAAACACGTACTATATTTTTATGCCAATTAGTTTCCTTTTTATTTCCATTTTCTTTTGAATATTTTTGCTCTTTATTCTTTGACACGTTACTATTAATTTTTTATTTCCTTTTTTTGTTGAACGTTATTTCTCTTTTTTCTTGTAAATTAATTTTTCCCTTCAATTACCTAGACTTTTTACAAAATTATTATTTTATAATCTTAAGGTTTACATATAAAATATAGACTTTCTCATACATTTCATAAGTTGATAAGTGCATCTTTTTCTTTTTTTAATGATATTAATACACTAAGGTCCATAAAATGAATATGGACCTTAGGACCACATATGGAAAGATTTAGCTCTAATTAGATGAAAATATGAAAAATTCTAGAGTGTAGTTAGATGTAAAGCCAAGGAACTTGTAGTCCAATGATACTGCTATGACTCACCCAAATGAGAGGTTGTGTGTTCGATCTGAGTTCAAGTAGTAACTCAACGATAGGATTAAGCTATTTATACATCACAAATTTGTATCTCAAAGGCGTGCACTGACATTTTATGCTAATGTAAAGTTAATGATTTGCTTTGACAAAAAATGTCAAATGCAAATTTTTTTAATTACATGGTTGAAATAGAAACCGGCGCTATTATGCCCTTAATGCCCTCGCACGCCAGAGACACCATCGGAGTGGAGGATGAGATTGGATTCGTACTATGCTCTGCTCCTGCTGCTCGTTCCCTTCAATATCGCTGCCGGTTAGCCAATTTCTTCTCTTCCTCTCTTGAAATTCTTGGTCAACGCCCATTTTTCCAAAGTCAAACAAACCCTAATTCTTTTCTTTGAATGCATCCGATTGTTTGATTCTTGATGGATCGGCTGTTTCCGTGAACTGTCGCCTCATTGCCTGCAAAATTTCTAAGTTTACTAAGCTGAAAAGGATGATAATGTGTTAAATTTTGCATCTTTTGTTGTTGCACAATATGAAGGAATAGGGATTGTGGAAACATGCTTTGATGTGTTGTGCTTAATGCTATGTTTGGTTAAAGAATTTGAAAGAGAGAAACAAAAGAAAATATTAAGATTTTTTTTTCTTTTTTGGTTAATGAGGAAAAGAAAGGAAAACCGGATGGTATAGAAAATTAGATTAAAAAAACATGGTTTTTTTAAAGGAGAGAATAAACTAAGGTTAGAAGAATGAAAACCAAATTTCTTCTATTTTGGTTAAGAGAAGGAGAAAAGGCTTTATCTTTACCTTTCCTTCATAATTTCTTGAACCGGACATAGTGTAGAAGAGAAAAAAAAGAAAATGATAGAGAATAATTTTTCTTGTTTGGTTAGAGAGGGAAAAAAAGATAAAAGGAAAAGAGAACGAGAAGAGAAAATAAACTAAGAAGATAGAACACAACTTTCCTTCTATTTTGGTGAGGGATAGAAGGGAATCAATTTTATTTTCCTTTCCTTCCGAATCCCATGAACCAAACATAGTGTAAGAGTCAATCTTGCATTTATAAGTTAATGATAAAGATCTTGTATTTAATTCAATTCAGGTAAAAATGAAGGAGTTTGTATTTCGCCCGGTGGTCGGTTTCCTAGATTTTCCAATGAAGGGAAACCTCCAAGGAAGGTAAATAAAGGACCAAGAGATTTGAACCTGTGCAGGGTGTTCCGAGGGAAGACTTGCTGTGACATAAGCCAAACACACCCTACATTGTTGTCAATTAGGAGGTTGGCTTCTGCTGGTGAAGCGAGCCAAGAGTGTTTGCACTTGTGGGAATTGTTGGAATGTTCCATTTGCGATCCGTATGTCGGCGTCCAGCCCGGCCCTCCTCTTATATGTGCCTCTCTCTGTGATAGAGTGTACCAGGCTTGCTCCAATGCATACTTTGCAGTTGACACAAAGACACAGGTTTCTTACTTTCTTTGGTCATCTTTACGTGACTGGGTTTATGCATTGTTTTTATGATTTAGAACACATTTGAGATGATTGCTTTTTGGTTATAGTTTTTGACTATATAATATTGGTCAATAGGGTCCTGACTGTTTTAAGAACTCAATTTGGTCTTTGTGCAATCTTAACGTGATTTGGTTCTCATATGTATAAGTTTCTAATCAAGAATGGTATTTTCATTGTTTTATTCAAATCTAGAGTACAGTATTTTTCATGACTAAGCTGAGTTTAAATTACATAGTTGTGGGCCAGATTGAGTCCAAGAGAAAGTTCAGACCAAATTGAGCATTTGAGAAATACTCACTCTATATGGAATTAGTTGTCCATTAAAAACAAAGCTTGTTTTTAAGAAATGAGTTTGGAATGTCAAATGTGTTAGTCACTCATTAATATCAGCAAGCGCCAAGCTCATACCCTATATCGAGGATATTGTAGTCAATTCATCATAATTTCTTTGTTGAATATGGAAAGTGAACAACTAATTATGGACCAGCGATAACAAGAAAATGGACAGCTAAATTCAGAGAAAGGTAGTAACTAGCTGATAGGCAAAATTGGGCATTAACTCTTTTTGCAGTACTATTAGTCGTTTCAGACTTTCAGTCCTCGACATGAGTCCTGCCTGAATATGAAAATGATTTTCAGGTTCTTGCACCATGCGGAGTGAATGACTTCGTTTGTGGTAGGGCCTCAGAGTGGATCTCCAATGGAACAGAGCTCTGCAGGATTGCTGGGTTCTCAGTCAAATCGGTGTATGATGATCCGGAAGAAGTGACCTGCTACGGAGGAAAATCTAGTAGGGATTCCATATCTAAATCATGGGGAACATCAAACTCCAAGTATACACAAACTGCTCACAGCTCAAGTACAGTGGAGGGTTTCAAGCACTGGGTGGAAGACATTCTTTTCAGTGAAAGAGTATCTTGGGCAATAGGTGGAATGGTTCTGACTGCAGGACTTCTATTTGTCAGGTAAGCCTTCTATTAAAATATTGTGCTTGTTTCATTTGCAATCAATGAAAATCTATAACATGGTAAATGTAAAGATTATAGCCAAAAATGGGGTTGTTATTGTCATTTTACGTGCCCAAAATCACAATCTTTTTTGAACTGGAAAATGCAGCCAGCGCAGAAGCCGCAGGCAGCGCTACAAACAAGCAGCTATCAAGCGCACGGTCAGAAAATTGAACCCAGGCTCTCAGGCCAGGGAAGCAAGAAGGCAAGTGGAAGATAGATAGAGAGTAGATTGTTAGTTAGATCAATGTGTTGTGCTCCAATGTCTAGTTGTAGTTTCAAAAACTGTTTTCCCGTTGCTTTTTTTCGCATTCTCTCTTCTACTCCTTTTTATTTTTAATATGCATATGCACTGTCATACGTGAAATGGTATTGATGATATGTTACAAAAGTTCACAATTTTGATTCGATTCGTGATTCGTACAAATTTATGCAATATGTTTTAATCCTATTTTGGAATCTCCCGAAAGTGTACAATTCTGATTTTAGGTGAAATTTCTGTATGCGTAGTTGCTAAGTGGTAAAGTACTTCGGTGTTGCTAGCGTAGACCATGTATCGTTTCATTGAACGAAGCTACTAAAATAATTTGGTTTAACTAGCGTAACATAAAAATTTAAAATATGTGATTTTCAATGCTTATATTTTGTAAAAAAACATAATTTTTTGTCTAACATAATATGCTTAGTTCATCATTTAAATTATGTCTGTTCAAATATTCATTAAAAATTTGATGGAATTGAAATTTTAATTTCCTGTTTAGTATACGGAATTGATAGAATTGAAATTGAATTGGAATTAAAATTCCATGGGATTCAATTCCATAGAATTGAATTTACCAATTTCAATTCATTTTTTGCATTATCAATTCCAAATCGACATAATTTTTGTACTACCAAACACCAGAATTGGAATTGAAGTCTTCAATTCTAATTCCATAGTTTGAATTCCGTGTACCAAACGGGGCCTAAGTGTTCGACTTCAAACTATTTGAAAAATTTAAACAAATACGAATTCTAAAAAGACTCATTTACCACCTCCCTAGCTGCGACAAACCAAAATATTCAAAAAAAGACACAAAATCTTCTTAACCTCTCCCAAATTTTGTTAATTATTCAAAAACATGTGTCAACTTAGATCCAAATCCAATCATTATATGCATTAGGCGCTTCTACAGCAGATTCGTAAATAGGAGTTTCAGCACTAGCCGGAGCCGGAGCCGGAGCCGACGCCGGAGCTGGGAAGGGAGGAACGCTAATTGACTTTTGAACGGGACGAGAAGCGTAGGCCTCCTTTTCTTTAGATCCCATATCTTTGAAGTCGTCTTCGTCTACGTGCGAGTACTTCACGGATTTGTCCTTCTTCGGCGGCGTGTAAATGAGGCCGGGATTGTAAGGCACGCCGGAGTGCCGGATCCAACTATGCCCGTCGATGAATTTCCCGGCGGTGAACCGTTTGATTTGGTTCTTGGGAAGCTCCTTGATTCCGGCCCAATTCACCCGGTTCTCCTTTGAAGATCCGGGTCCCCTGTTGTTGAACTCTGTGTAGAATAGGGTCTCCAGCCCGAAATCGCCCATCCACGGCAACCACCCCTCCGGCTGAATGAAATCGGGGATGTAAGACTCCATTATAACGGTTCTCGAGAACTCCTTCCACGGCCGGCCGAGGTACGATTTGAGGGTGAACCGGTGAGGGAAGTAAGCCGGGTCGGCCACGATGGTGCAATTCTGCAAGACGAGCCCGGTCGGCTGGTGCGGGTCCTTCCGGCCCTGAGCCGTCACGATGTTCTGCTGATTCTCCAGCGGTTTCCGGACGACGATGGTGCAGTTCTGGAGCACGGCGGCGCTGTCGCCGAAGATGAAATCGATGGTGCCGGAGATCTCGCAGTTGCGGTAGAACTGGCGGTACGTATGCGCGTAGAGGGTGTCTTGGTACCCGTCCATCTTGCAGTTGTAGAAGATTGACTTGTCGGCGCCGACCCTCAGAGCCACCGCCTGGTGCTTTTCCGGCCCCGCCGAGTTCTCAAATCCGATGTCCCTTGCCATGAAATAATCTCCCAAAACAGCTGCATTATATTGGAGGGGTTAGAGTATAAACTTCTTTTATTAATTTATAATCTCAAAGTTGAGTATAGAGACTTTTGATCAAGAAGTTACGAGTTTCTGAAAACTTAATTAGGATGCAACTAAATTGTACATAAATTATTCGGAATTGAATAATTGATTACAACTACTCACCAACGGTAGCGGTGTGATAAGTGGAAACCCCGTCGATGAAATTCAACCATCCGGTGATTTTTGTCTCATTCGAACCGTCACCTATCATAGTGAGATGGGTGATGTTACGGTAAATGGTGACTTGCTCTTCGTAGACGCCCTCTTTGATGTAGAGGACGAATGTTTCGTCACTTTTCGTGGGAATGTTTTTTAAGGCGTCATTTATGCTCGTGTAGTTCCCTGACCCATCCTTCGCGACAATGAGATTGGGTTTTACCTCGTTGAGGCTGGCCGTGAGAAGCCTTCGCCTTCCGGAGCTCACCCAATCCGGGAAGTCATCTCTATGTTTTGACAGAAGACGACGCTTGTTGGTAACATGTTCGACTTCAAGACCAGTGAAAAGGGAAGAGACTTCAGTGACCATAGCAAGGGCATTGCTGGTCATTTCCATGGATTTTGCTAAAACCTCTCTCATCTGTTTCTCTTCATTTCCGGGGATTTCTTCAAATCCGCTCAAGCATGTTTCTTGATAAGTGAGAGAACCGCTGAGCCATGTCTTGAGGTCATCCAGCCAATTATCCAAATCCAGCACGTCGAAATCTTGGAACTTGGCCAAAGTCCTTTGGAGATCATCTATAGCATGGTTTGCGAGCTCTTCACAATTCTGCAATGCGAGTTTCGATCTAGGGTCATCTTTAAGACTCGTGTAAAGTGTCGAATTCTTGATCGAAGCGCGAATGTCATTCATCGTGACATTGAATGCGACTTGTATAAGTTGTCTAGGATCCGAAGAGTGCGTTGCATTCGAGGCTGAGAGGCTCTCAACACAAGTTTTCTTATATGTGGTGGGCTGGCATACAAATTCTATGGCTTTTCGGGAGGCAGCAAGACCTTCGGCTTCGGCCTCCACGTTTGCCTCTTGGCTTCCGATGGTAATCGCCACAACCATAGCTATGAGGATTAAAGAACAAACACCTAGGACAATAATGTTCTTCTTCTTTTTATTCTCTTCCATTTTTTTATTAATATGTTTTAGGAAAAGATTTTGCCTGGTGCTTGGTGGAGAAGGTCATACAAGAAATGTTGTTGACCCCCTCCTAGAATGTGGTAAGAGAATGCGGGTGTCAAGAGGTTTAAATTTATAGGATTCTCAAATTGGAAGTTGTGTATACTTTCATTGGGAGATTAGTGGTTGGGAGTGAAAAAAGCAACAAAAATTTAGGTAAAAGGTGTGAGTTTGCTAAACTTGATCCCCTTTTTTGTAGCATTTCATGAGTGGTTTGAGTTCATGGGCCTATTTTCCACCCATTTTCAATACCCAAATTTGCGTTCCAAAAAATAATAATTAATGTAGTTCATTTGTTTAAACTAAAATCTTTTTTAGTAGTCTCTCGGTCTCCCCCACTTCAGGTGGAGTACATCCTATGTCAAAGGCTAATGTAATGAGAGAGATTTAGTTTATGGAGTCTTGAGTTCATAATAAAGTCATTCTACAAAGTACATCCCCGTGATACTTATTATGCTTAACGATCTCTTTTCCCACTTCATTAACGCTGCCCTAATGCTCGTATCTTCAAGAGTAACAACTTATTAACACGATTTCAATTCCTCAAATATTTTAGCAAATAAAGTTGGTGGTCATGACGGGGCACAAAACAACATGCCCAAACACATAAGTATTCTGGCAAGTCATCTTTTTAAATTCTTCATTTGTCACACCGTGTGGGCATACTGCGCACTTGACCGATCAATTTTTTTACCAGTTACTTTTTTGGTGTTATAAGTTATACCCATTGTTTGAAAAAACTATAAACTTATTTTAATTTCTAGATTTCAATTATAAAATTTATAGAATTCGGATTTTAAATTTAAGGAAGAGTGTTTGAATTAAATGAAGACAAACTTTTTGAGGGGTTTGTGACACCTCATCCAACATCGTTTCAATACATTTTTTTATTTAAATTTTAACATGAAACACTGTTAACAACACTTTGACGCTTCGTTACTTGGCATCTTATTTTTATTTTTTCAGAGTTCATTTTCAAAATGGTCATTTCGAATTAGGCATTTTTCCAAATCAGTCTTCAAAAGACAAAAATTACTTACGTGGTACTTTATAATAGAAATTTATTTCCTCTATAGTCCTCGGTCATAAACTTCGTTATATGATTGTTAAGTGCAGGATATTTTGGCATTTTCAATCATATCAATTTAGAGTAAATTTTCAAAATGGTTCATTCTAATTAAATATTTTTCCAAAATGGTCGTTTTCAACTAAGATGGTATATTTAATACCCCTCCGTCCCAGAGTATTCGTTCAGTTTTGAATTTTGGAACTGTTCACCTAAGCACTTTGACTCATCAAATTCTCTCAATGTGTAAGCCTAAATATAGTCATGTGTGATCTTGTTTGATTTGTCTTAACATATAGATTATTAATGTATAATTTCTATAATTTTTTAATATACAAATTACAAGATAAAATGGATTAAAGAAGTGTATTGGATGATGTATAAAAATGAAAGTAGATAAATACTCTATGATGGAGGTAGTAGTTTTGTTTTAGGTTTACATAGGGTTGTATAGATTTTGAATAATCAATGGATTATGTAAAGTCAAAGGATTATTTTAATTTTACATGGAGTGACATAGACTTTGATGCACTTCATTACTCGGTGTCAAGATTTTTTATTAAAGTCCATAAATTATTCCATCATCAATAATTGATAATAATTAGTCTAAACTCATTAAATCTGGACCCTGAATTAGCTGCCCCATTAGAGTGAAATGGACTGTAATAATAATTTGTTACTAAACTCATTAAATCTGGACCCTCGCACCACTTGCCATTCGGAGCCATCAGGCCGTGAATTTGATTTTTCCTTCTACGGTACGGTAAGAGGCATATTGATGGAAGAAACGAGTATTCCTATCTTCCGCTCAAAGCCAATGCTGCTTTACTCGCTGATTGTAAAAAGATATGACGTAGAGTGATAGAAAAATGTGTGTTGTGCTCTTTGTGGGGCTTGAAAGAGGGACGTGACCAAAAAGTGATGAAGTGAAGATGTGAATTAATTTAATAAGTTGAAATGTTTTCTAAAAAAAGGAAAAAGAAATGTGGTGGCAATGGCGGGATGGCCCACACGCATGAAGGGGCCACACCCAGAATTTGTAATCCCGTCTTGGTGAATGGGGCATGTATGAGGCGTGAAGGAGGAGGTCAAGCACTCCTCACGCTATCATTACACATGGTCTTCCAAGGTAGATTGCTAAATATGAAACATTTTCTGCCTCATTCTGATAAATTCTCCATTTAAGAGTGGGCATATTCATGGGATAACTCAGTGGCAAGGTAGACAAAGGGAGGGTAAGAGCATCAACATTGGTGAGGCAAAAATGATATGTCAGATGCTGACATGACATATTTTAACCAATGAAAAATAATCCAGTCAGTCATTCATAGAAGAATGGGCTTTGCAGTGGCAAGTCATAGCTTTTGTCACTTTTTTTAAATTTTTTGATGTATTTTAATTACTAAATTTATTTTTGTTATTTATTTTATCAAAAATATAATTCTACTTTCTTACAAAAATGGTTTTTTCTTCAACAAAAAAGAATAAAAAAGGAAAAGAGGGTTTGAATGCCACACCTATGCCTCGACAACCATGGCAACTTGTCAATGCCATGCCACGGAAATGAAAGTAAAGAGCTTATATGGCAAGCGTGGCAGGAAAGTCTCACCCGCTGTCATTGCTCTAAGAGGTCATGAGTTCAAGTGATGGGAGGAGCATCTTGGATCTTTGAGAAAAAAGGAGTAACAAGATTGTATTTTATGCTTAGTTCCAAGGGAGCTTTAGTCATTGTTCGATTAGTGAAGAAATGATGGAAAAGAACGGGAGATGAGAAAACATATTTTCCAATACAATCTTTCAAGTTTGGATGCGAAGAAAAAGGTGAGAAAAGAAAAAGAATTGTGTGGGATCCATATCAAAAACTTTCTCATCAACCGTGATAAGAAAACCGGAGTGTCAAGAAGGTAGACCCGAGTTCGATTCCTGATAGTTGTGCTGGGAGCTACCACAATCTACGATTAAAATCTAATTTATCCCTTTTCAGCGATCGTGCAACCACATCTAAAGAGACCTGGAAGATGAGGTTCATTTTTTTTGTTAATATCACACCGAACAACATGAAGTAAGAATTGTCCTAGAAACAACACTAAGCAAAATATAAAAAATATCACAACAATTTTCTCTAGGAGTCGAACCCGAGCATGGTACTCTAACACACTCTGCAGAAAGGCTGAGCTACAGGGGCCCGAATTGGAAAACACAGATCGAATCTATTGCCGAGCACTCCTTAATTTCTTGGCTTAAACCCTGCACTTCTCTCGCTTCACCCACGAGCCTCTCAAAATGTTCAAGAAGTCAGTTTTCTATCCCCATCTCTCGCTCTCTCTGTATTTGCAGCACTTGTTTTTTTTTGTTTCGCCATTGTTATTTGGTAGATACCCGTATTTATTCTTTTCTTTCAAAAATTAAAAAAAAAAACGTTTTTTGATGTCTTCAAGATCGCAATCTTGATGATACCCGAACATGTTTCTCTTTATATTCTACTACCATGGTAGTTCTGATTTCTCTAAACAAGGTGCGATTTTTTTTGTTTTTTTTTTTGGGTTTCCTTAGTACTGTTTGATTTCATTACTGTTTTGCATGTGCTTGTCTATTTGATTGAGTTGTGATACAATTTGGATGAAGCTTTATTGAGCTTGGTCAAAGTTGGAGTGGGGAATTTTACAAATCTGGGCTGTATGGTCCTTCTGGAGGGATTCTTCCTCGGACCCTCCCTTAGGGGGAAAGGATTGTGCACGGGGCTACCCCATGGTCTATTGAAATAGTGGGGGTGTTTTCCATTTCTTTTCACCCCAGCTTTGGAGAAGTAACAAAAGCAGAATGAAAAGTCTGCACAATTTCATGTCCTAAGGAAATAGTGTCATTTGATCTTTGGTTGATTCTTAAGCTTTCCTTAAGAAAGGGAAGTTTCTGCTAGAATAGGTAGTCCACCTTTGTAGTTTACGGATTGCTTCTTTGAATCCCAGAAGCTTGCAAATAACTAACCCAAGACAGTCAGTCTACAGTTGTGCAATATATTGTCAATTTGGCATACCTATGTCCTATATAGATTGTTTTCTAGCTCAATAAGTCAATATAGTTGTGTTAACATGCAATGTCATCTCAAAAAAACATGTAATGTATTTATATATGTTCTTTACTGTAACTTTATGGTGCACATGACTTTTGATTACATTACAATGCGTATTACAAGACACAATTCAGTGTATTGTTCCCATGGAGAAGTTTTGGTTGCTGATTCATAAGATGGCTGGGTTTTCTTTCTTTGTGATTCCCTCACTATTTTTTCATTAAGTGTTGTCATTTTATGTTTAGAAGATATGAATACATGATTATTTCGAATGCACTTGTTCAAATTTTGGATGAGTCTCTTTCTCTATTAAGTGTGAGTTTATCTTTGAATAAAGGAGATGATGGGGCATTAAAGTACAAGCCAAATATTTAATCATGTTTTATACTATGTATATAGCTACCGAGTAGAAGAAAAAAATTAGACATAATGCAACAATAGTCCATATGTGCCTAATTCCGTCTAGACGGCAATAACTAGACACATTTTCATTACATATTTATAGGTTCTGCAATGAAGAAGTGTCTGGACAAAATCAAGTCAAAGCATCTGTGCAGCGCAAAATCCGGCAAAGCATTGCAGAAGAGGCATTATTTTATGCTCATATGATTCTTCAACCTCTTATTTATGCTCTCACCTTATATAGATATTAACTCGCCTACGCTTCTTATACGTTCATCTTTTTATTTCAGTACCCAGGTCTTGAGCTTGTGCTTGATGATTTGCTTCCAAAGAAGTCTCCTCTCATTGTTGCAAAATGGTTTCTTTTCATTAATTGAATCACTCCATGGCATTCTCTCCAACTTTCATCATATTTCCTATTGGCCAGCCTCATCTCTTACACAATTTGTTTTAAAACTTTTTAACAGTCCAAACCATCTGAATCTAGTCGTGGTGAATAATGTACCACTGTTTTTCAATATAAGGGATGGACCATATATGCCTACGCTGCGGCTTCTTCATCAATGTAAGCTATTCGTGAAACTCATTTTGATAAGTATATTAACCTATGCTTGTTTCATTATACCACTGTGTTGTACTCCGTATATCGCAACTGTTGAATTTTGTTTTTGATTATTAGTTCTGCATTTGTATTTGTGGTATTGGACTATACTACATGCACATGTGGTATTTCAGAACTAGGCATAGTTTGTAGCTCGACTACTAAAACCACTTGTACTTTATTTTCTGCACTTAGAAAAATATTTGCTCGGGTAGTTAAGAAATATTCCCTCCTCCCAAAATTAACTTCCCACTTTCTTTTTTGGTTATTGTTAGGCGTGTCGTAGCAACCACAAATTAATTTATTATTTTCCTTAACTCTTAACCCCATTAAAACATATAGATTGGGGAAGCAAGGGTCGATCCCACGAGGAAAGATACTTTTTAGGCTATGAAAATCAGTTTACTTGTCACTTTTATTAAATAAAAATAACTAACTAAAACTATTCACTAAAACTAACAGATATGGGGTGGTTTGAAAGATTAATTAAAAAGAATAAAAATGAAAATAAAATAAAGTTAAGGATAACAAAGAAGAGCACGGAACCACAATAGCAAGCTTAGAACAGGGAGAGAACAAACACACAAACAATCACACATAACAATCACACAATAAACTTTATAAAACTTAGATTATAATAGTTAACTTAATCAATTTTAAAAATACTTATAGTTTTTATTAGAATATAAACTTAACAAATCCGATTAACTAATCAATTATGTCTTGATTTTGAAACTAAACTGCTAATTAAACTCAGGGTTAGGCTGAAGAAGAGGTCCACCAACAACTCTTCCCTATTCTCCCATGCATATAAGCTCATGTTAAGATCAACCCTTACTCTAAACCCTACTACCCTTAGCAACCCAAAGACCAACCCCTAGGTTACTACTAAGAACATCACATTAAGATTTGTGGAAAACATCACCATAACAACTTTGCAGTAACAATATGGTTATTTAACAAAATTAGTTCGAGAACCTTGATTAGAAAAAACCACTTAACGAGGCAGCCAAGTACTAATCAAGTGCCACTTGGTTTCCATAAAAGTTCGGCTATTTAAAGCACTTTGGAGTTTAAAAGATATCATTTTAAATTGGATTAGGTTGCAATCCTAATTTGGTTTAATTTAAGTAAAATCTGGTGAATAATACGGAGTAGTTCTCAGTACACCTTGTCGAGTTTAGTTTAACAGTAGCGTAAAGCTCAAATTCCTTCAAAGTCAAATTAATTCAACAAGAACAACCAAACCAAAGATTCAATCCTTTTTGTTAAACAATTCGTCCTAAGACGGTTTTATAATTTCAGAGACAATAATTAAATCAACAAGTTAAATCTGGACAGATTCAACAGCAGCATTCAAACAATTCAAAACTTATAATATTACTTAACCATTCAATACACAAGAATTGGAATTGAAAATAAACATATTTAATATTGAAAAGGAAAAATTGTTCCATGAGTCATCTTCTTTGTTCGAACAGTGCACAGAGGGCCAGAGCTGTCCCAGGAGCTTTGCCTCAGCCTGTCCTCCGTCCATGCCATGCAATTTCTGTCGCCAGACCTTCTCTGTTCTCGATTCCCCTCTGTATTTGTGTTGAAGAAGATGCCTTTCTTCTATCGTGAGAGTTCCATTTATAATTGAAATAATGAAGAGATTGTCTTTCAATTGGATTAAACTTCTTTGCAATGCGCCTGGATTAGAGATAAGACTTCGTGTTCTCTATTTCTTGTGCTTGGTTTCTACACTGCATTTCTCTTCTTGTTTTTTCACTTTTATTTGCTCTTCTTTCTCTTTATTTATTTGGCTAGTGGATTTGATTTGGGTCAAGCTTGGACTTGGGCTAGCTTTTTAAGCTCCAAAAAAAAATCAACTTCATTATCTTCTTCAAGCTTTAGGGCTTAACGTATATCTAGAAATTATATGTCAGTGAAAATAATATTCCAAAATATTTAAAACGCATAAATTTGGTCAAAATCATGCATTTTATGTATGAAATGCAAACATTAGCCTAAAATGCCAAATATGAAAAAATATGAATATTTAGGTATAAAATGTCTTTAAAATGCTAAGGCCATGTTCTCCTCAACTTAATTTTTTTTACTTATTACTTATTCTTGTTGGAATTTGATCAGATCAGATCAAATCAGAAACAATTTTAAATATAACTACATTTAGATCAGACCAGAACAAATTAGAACTTATTCCGATCAGATCAGAAGTTCGGAACCATTCACATCAGGTGAAGAGAATATGATCTAAGAAATGGGGGAATAAAATATGATATTTTGTTACTCTAACAGTTATCCTAAAATCAATTTCTCATTTCTTTTTTTGCTTGGCATGCACCGTTGACTTCTTTAATGTAAATACACTTTTACCCTCAACATCATACACTTTTTGTAAAAACGGAATAGAGTAATTTAGTAATCGAAATCGAACAAAAACGTAAAGAGACAGATTTAACGCGGTTCACCAACGATGTGTTGGCTACGTCCACAGGCAAGAATGGAGATCAGATTGTATTATGATGGCGGTTCCAAATTGCACAGGTTTTAGACCCCCGTTTGCGTGGCGGCAAACAATACAGATTCAAAACATACTAACACTTATACTACCTTTCACTTAACTTTTACCAAATCCAAACATTGAGATAGAATAAACAAACATTCAGAAGTCTCTAACATAAAAATGTTTGCAGGAAGGACTTAGGTTTGTCAAGTTATGAACTGTGTTGTGGACTTGTGGTTGGTGGCATGAAACTTAAGTGAGTTTAGTCTCAATTTATTGTCTACAATTAACTTACACTGGACTCACGTAGGGTTCCCTTTTCTGACACAACTTTCCTACTGAGTACAAACCAATACTAAGATAAAGTCCAAAACCATCATCTTACAATTTTTCCACTGGCATGGAAAATTTTCACGAGACAACATTGAGTTGAGATAGTTGCTTTAGTCATGCACCACGTTTGATATTATAAAACAAAATGCAAAACATGAACATGACCATTGGATTAGTCAATTTTGTTATGGTGTTTTTTTTCAAGTAGTTGCTTATAGTGTCAGCATTTTATTCTAGCCTTCTTTCTTCCCTATTTCTCTCTGCAGATCCAAATATAATGAAGAAACTGCAAGTTGACAGAGGGGCTATTAAGTTTGTCTTGTCCGGTGCCAACATAATGTGTCCAGGCCTTACATCTCCTGGAGGTGTCTTGGATGAAGAAGTTGAGGCTGAGACTCCTGTTGTAAGAATGATAAAGCACAATTTTAGATATAATTTCTTTTTTCATTTATCATACACCACTGAAATATTGTGTTGCTTTTTCCACTTCTTAAATTTCTTCCATTCAATAAAAAGAGTCCTATTTTTAAATTTATTTCGCCCTAAAAAAAACTCCATTTATATACTCCCCCCATATTTGTGGAGTTTAATTGTAATGTATTTACTTGGCATTCTTCAGGCAATAATGGCAGAAGGGAAGCAACATGCCCTTGCTATTGGCTTTACAAAAATGTCAGCAAAGGATATGTAAGATTAAATTTACTGATGTACCCATTAAATTTTACTTCTTTGGTTGTTATAGTTATGGAGTAAAGATGAGCTCTTTGTGCATCATCCCCCCCCCAGACCCGCAATATATACCGTACAACTGGTTATACGGTGTTTCCCGTACATCCACGGTGAGTACTCATTTACGTGTAACTGAATACTCATTTTTCAAAAATTCAATTATACTGGAAAATGAGTATTTAGTTACTTGAAAATGAGTATTTTGTTCTTCAAAAATGAGTTTTTATGCAGATGTATGGGAAATACCATAAATCTAATGTATGATATAGGTACTTTCTTAGACCCTATTCTTGAGTCTTGAGTGAGATAAAGTGGGTTTTCTTTGGTTCGGATTGGATTGGATTGTAACAAGGACCCGCACTTTTAACTAAACAATTTTTGTCTTTTCTTCATAGCGTTTTGAAATTCGAAATTGGCTCTCTTGTTTCTGCAGAAAATCAATCAACAAAGGAATCGGCGTTGACAACATGCACTATCTTAATGATGGCCTTTGGAAGGTGATTCCCTTTTCAAGTCTTTCGATTCCATTCCCTTTTGCAGATCCAAACGGATCCTTCTTTTTAATCACACGTAGTTTAATTCTTTTGTTTCTTGACCGTAGATGGAGCGTCTGGATTGAGTGTGATCTGATCAGAATCAATTCAATGGACTCTTGACCAAAGACCGAAACGGGTTTTGATGCGCTTAAACTATAATTACTATGCATACCATGGCTTGAATTTGCAGTCTTTTTGAGCAGTAATGGTAAATCTAGAATGCTAATATTACACTCATGTATTTTGATAATCATTCTTAGACTCAATGGGAGTGTTTTAGAAAAATTTAAATCTTTGTTTTTTTTGCTTATCTGAGCTCCTTTTACCATTCTGGTGTTTGATAAACCAACATAAATTTCTGTGTAATGCCTATGTTAAGACGTTTAAATCTCACAAGTCATAGACAAGTATCTACCTGTCTTAGGTGAGCATATCTTTGTTAGACGTGTTGTCACTAGTTTCGGGTTGTGACCGGTCTGAGTAGACTTTTTATAAGACGTCTAGCGTGAGATTCATCACTGATTTCTTATTTCTGCAAACTTTGATGAGTTGATGTACTGTTAAAAGGTCTCCCTTCATCCTATAAAAAGGTTTTCAATTGATAACACTAAAATCTGCAACATCTATCGCTCTCTAGAGTTTGGCCGAATTGATCCCGTGATAATGCAGCACAAAGATATTGAGAGACCCGACAAAAAAATCACTCGTAGTATTTAATTTCTTGAAAATTTAATTAACACATTCAATCAAAAAATACTCTCGACCCGAATTGATATTTATTCAAATCGATATACTCCTTTCATCTTTTTTTTAATGATTTGTTTTACTTTCCGTAACAAATGTTTGACTAACTATATATAAAAATATATCATGAATAGAAATATAAAAAACATATCAAATTATGAGTATTAAAAATACATTTAATGCATTATTTTTAATAATTTTTTTATTAATATATTTTAAGAGATATTATTGGTCAAACATTAGACTTGAAAAAGTCAAACAGACAATTCGAAATCAAATAGAATTGAATCGATAAAATTCAAAATAATCATGCGGAGAAATACGTATTCGAAATAAACCCGAACAGAATAGATACAGTATAAAATTAGGGAATCGAATTAAATCAAAATTGAATAGAATTGAACTCAAAATAACTATCTGAAATGAACCCGAACTGAATAGATATCAATACTTGTCCGAAATAAACCCGAACAGAATAGATACAGTATAAAATTAGGGAATCGAATTAAATCAAAATTGAATAGAATTGAACTGATGCACTCCAAAATAACTATCTGAAATGAACCCAAACTGAATAGATATAAAATTATGAAATCGAATTAAATCAAAATTGAGTAGAATTGAACCAATACAACCCGAAATAATTATGAGGACTAATACGTATCCGAAATAAACCCGAACCTAATAGATATAAATGTGTACCGAACCCATTGATCCGAACCAGGACTACCACTCACCTTCACAATAAACCCTAATCTCTCTCTGTCTCTCAACATATAACAGACAGCCGCACCCATTCGTCCATCCCTCTCCCTGCGGCTAAGGAACTTCATCGAGCTCAGCCATGGTAATTTTTCCTTCACTAACTCTATACGCTGTATGTATACCTATATTATAACGTTTCATTTTCAAAGTCGCTTCCATTTTCGTTCCCGTAGGGTATTGATCTGAAAGCAGGAGGTAAGAGCAAGCAGACCAAGCGCACAGCGCCGAAATCGGAGGATGTTTACTTGAAGCTTCTCGTGAAGGTTTTTTAATCAGAGTTTTGTTTTTATGCATTCATTTTTATGTCTACAATGTACATTTTGTTCATTCTGAATTTTTGAAACATGGAATGATTGTTGGATCTGCTTCAGCTCTACGAGTTTTTGGTACGAAGGACCGGAAGCAAGTTCAATGCTGTGGTTAAGAAACGCCTGTACATGAGCAAGACGAACAGGCCTCCGCTTTCACTCTCCAGGCTGATTGCTTTCATGTCCGGAAAGGTGTATGATTGAAATGTGCTTATGGCTTTATTGTGTTTTCGTATTGCTCTTGTGCCCGCTGCTATTTTGTCCTGTATCTTGATTTTGACCAGCTCTTTTGATGATTTTGTATAGGAGGATAAGATTGCTGTGTTGGTGGGCACTATTACTGATGATGTTAGGGTTTATGAAGTCCCAGCAATGAAAGTTTGTGCTCTGAGGTTCACCCAAACTGCAAGGGCAAGGATTGAGAAAGCTGGTGGGGAATGCCTGACATTTGACCAGCTGGCTCTTAGAGCTCCATTGGGACAGAACACGGTATTTAATCACCCAACATTTGCTTAGCACCTATAACGTATTTGTATTATGCTGTTCTGTAGTATATGAGTCCTACAGTGCAAACTATCGATGGTGTCTTCAGATGAAATGTGGCATTAAAATGAAAATAGGTAAAATATGTGAAAGTTGTGAATTGCATTGTTTTCCCTTACGTGTCTTAGGATTCTGTTTAAAGCCTTATGCTTTGCTGCAATGGTGGAAATACATAACTCCAAGCAATTTACCATTGGTAATCCACCTTTTGGTGGTTGACTATCTAGATTGACTAGTACGCTTTAATTGGATATACTTCAGGTTTACTGGCAGTGTTTCTTTTTCGTAAGTTTTGCCTGCAGTATTATGTTAGCACTTTGCGTAGCCCATAGGATTGCCTTCCACTTGTCCAATGGAAGCATTTCGAGCCATAGCTACGCTATAAAAATCATTATACACTTTCTCTCACAGTTTACAAAGGTCCAGATCTTTGCACTTGTGGTTGTGGTAAATATGGCATTCTCTCTAGGATTTTCCTTTTGAGTCTCTTCTCTCTCACTTTCTAGTACTGAGTCATTGTGCTTCTTTATTATCTGTTTCCCCCTATTGGTATTCTAGAACCTGAAGAGCATTCGTAATGACCATTGAAAGTGGGTACATACATGTGGAATTTAAATATTTTGTTTTTTCATACATATGTATTACTTCTCCGGGGCTGGCAAGTGTATTTTATCAAATTAAGAGATTTACTGGGACTTTTAGAAAAAATGCTTGTTCTAACTACTGGCATAGATGATGAGGGGATTAGATGTGCGAGTGGTGAATGCCACTATGAGCTCACTTCACGAGGCTTATTGATATTCTGACTGCCAGCTAAATTTCCCAGCTGTTTTATTTAAGTCCATTTATTGATTTATTGAATACCTTTTTCAGTTATTGGGATTTCAAATGTTTTGTGATAGTGGGTTGTTGTATTAAGCTGTTATTGTGAAAGTAACAACTATTGGAATTTTTTGATCTGATTTTTGCGTAGCCCTTAGGATCGCCTTCCAGTTGTTCAATGGAAGCGTTTTGAGTCATAGCTACGCTATATCAAATTCATTATATACTGTATTCTGCAGCGTATGAAGGTCCATATCTTTGTACCTGTGGCTGTGGTATATTTGGGATTCTCTTTAGGGTTTTCCTTTTGAGATTCTTATTCCCCACTTAAAAGTGCTGTGTCATGGTGGATGTTTTTGATCTTTTCATCCCTGTGGGATCAAGGGCCAAGAAGTGTATTCATAATTGCTACTGTAAGTGGGATACATTGAGTTCCATAGGATTCAAATGTTTATTGTTTTTATTTTATTTTTTTTCATACTCCATATATGGTTATTGGTTATTGATCTGGGGACGGGTGGGAAGTGTACTATATCAAATTGAGACTTCGGTCAGTCTTTTATTCTTGTCTATGGCATGGATGATGAGGTGATTAGATGTGCGAGGGGGAATGCCTTGATTAATTGAATACCCTTTTCAATTTTTGTCTTAACATAAACTTATGGAGACTGAATTTAAGCCCTTAAAAGTGAGGAATGAGTCATGCTAGAAACCCACCATGGTTCACACTGCAATCAACAACTGTTTGTGTTAATTTGTACATACACAGGCCATAATCATCTTTGAACTATGTAATTTCACAGACATCCACAGACTATTGTCATCATCGGCCCTGTTTACAAATTCAGTCACGGTGTTATCCATGGTGTTAACATCTTGGTATTACACTAGCTTTTTTTGGGAAAGGAATAGCTAGTGGAATTGTTTGATCTGATATTTGGTAAAATCGTCATGGTCTTTTTGCAGATTCTGCTAAGAGGTCCTAAGAATGCACGGGAAGCAGTGAAACACTTTGGTCCTGCTCCGGGTGTTCCGCATAGTCACACCAAGCCGTATGTGCGCTCCAAGGGAAGGAAGTTTGAGAAGGCCAGGGGAAGAAGAAACAGCCGCGGTTACAAGGCTTAGTTTTGTTCTTAATTATATCAAGGACTTATTTCTCTAGTATCATGTCGTTCCGATTTTCGCAAAAGATTTTTCGCTAGCCTACACAGGTTTCTTCTTTCAATTTGATCTTCAGCTTGTTCCTGAAAACAAGCTACTCCGTTTTTACAATTGAAGATTTTAATATAAGTGTGCGGTTATTAATTTAATTACTAGCAATAATATGATTGTTCTGAAAAAAATGCATTTTTTGTTTCACTTATGTCCCAAATTTGGTTGGTGAACAAATTAAAAAGCATAGAGACCATACGTCTCCTACACATGTGGGATCCATTAAATATGTGGGAGTTTGCAACATTTAAATCCAAATTTTCTTTCATTTCTCTCCAATCTAAATTTTTTTTGTCAACAATTGGTTAATCTAAACCAAATGCTATAAAACTTCTTGACCTCTAATTGTTTAACAAGGCACTCGGAGGAGAGGGTCGATCATTTCAATTTTGACCTTCTCCATTGAGCATTGAGGAAACACATTGCCAAAAGTTTCCAAAATGGAAGAGAATAAGAAGGGCAAGAACATGGCCGTCCTTGGCGTGTGCTCGTTGATCTTGGTCGCGATGGTTGTCGCTCTTACCATCGGAAGCCAAGATTCTGAACCCGAAAATTCGGGTCAAGATGGTATCACTGCCTCTCGTAAAGCCATTCAAGCCGTGTGCCAACCGACTACGTATAAAGAAACGTGTGTGAAAAGCCTATTTGCTTCAAATGCGACACAATCTACCGATCCTAGAGACCTTATTCAAGTGGCATTCAATGTCACGATCAAAGACATTCGTGATTCGATAAAGAATTCAAGCCTTTTCCTGAATCTCAAGGATGATCCAAGATCAAAAGCGGCATTGGAGAATTGTGAAGACCTGGCCAACCAGGCTATAGAAGATCTTCGAAGGACTCTTGCAAAGTTTAAGGACTTCAACTTGTTGAATTTGGATAATTGGTTGGACGACTTGAAGACTTGGCTCAGCGGATCTCTCACGTATCAAGAAACATGCTTGAGCGGATTTCAAGAAATCCCAGGAAACGAAGAGAAACGAATGAGGGAGCTTCTAACGAAATCCATGCAAATGACCAGCAATGCCCTTGCTATGGTCAAAGAAATCTCCTCGCTTATCACCGAGGATGAAGCCGAGTCTCTCACCAATGAAATGAGCAGACGCCGTCTTCTCTCAAGTAACAAGGAAAAATTCCCAGAATGGGTGACCCCCGGAAGGCGCGGGCTTCTCGCGGCCAATCTAAGCAAGGTGAAACCAAACCTCATTGTCGCCAAGGACGGATCCGGAAATTACATGAGCATAAACGACGCCTTGAAAAATATACCAACAAAAAGCGACGAGACATTCGTTCTCTACATCAAAGAGGGCGTTTACGAAGAGCAAGTCACCGTTTACCGTAACATCACCCATCTCACCATGATAGGCGACGGTTCGAACAAGACAAGAATCACTGGATGGTTGAATTTCATCGACGGGATTTCCACCTTTCACACCGCTACCGTTGGTGAGTACTAGGAAGTAGGAATACTTTATTCATTAATTTATTGTGTAACATTTGGTTTATTACCGGAGTAGTAATAATTCATTAAATTCGGAATGGTTTAATGTGTTAACATTTGTTTGCATCCAAAATATAATCCAGCTGTTTTGGGAGATTATTTCATGGCTAGGGACATCGGATTCGAGAACTCGGCGGGGCCGGAAAAGCATCAGGCGGTGGCTCTGAGGGTCGGCGCCGACAAGTCAATCTTCTACAACTGCAAGATGGACGGGTACCAGGACACCCTCTACGCGCACACGTACCGCCAGTTCTACCGCAACTGCGAGATCTCCGGCACCATCGATTTCATCTTCGGCGACAGCGCCGCCGTGCTCCAGAACTGCACCATCGTCGTCCGGAAACCGCTGGAGAATCAGCAGAACATCGTGACGGCTCAGGGCCGGAAGGACCCGCACCAGCCGACCGGGCTCGTCCTGCAGAACTGCACCATAGTGGCGGACCCGGCCTACTTCCCTCGCCGGTTCGCCCTCAAATCGTACCTCGGCCGGCCGTGGAAGGAGTTCTCGAGGACCGTGATTATGGAATCGTACATCCCCGATTTCATTCAGCCGGAGGGGTGGTTGCCGTGGAGCGAGGATTTCGGGCTGGAAACCCTATTCTACACGGAGTTCAACAACAGAGGACCCGGATCCTCGAAGGAGAACCGGGTCGATTGGGTCGGAATCAAGGAGCTGCCGAAGAAACAGATCAAGCGGTTCACCGCCGGGAAATTCATCTCCGGGAACAGCTGGATCCGAGAATCCGGCGTGCCTTATAACCACGGCCTCATTTACTCGGCGCCGAAGAAAGATAAATCGGTGAAGTACTCGGACGTGGACGACGACGATTTCAAAGATCTGGGCAAAAACGACAAGGAGGCTTATGTTTTCCGCCGCCCCCCTCCGTCGGCAATTAGTGCTTCTCCCTTCCCGGCTCCAACTCCGTCGCCGACTCCGTCGCCAGCTCCGACGTCATATTACGAGACTCTTGTAGAAGCGCCGATTCCGATGAATGCTTGGATTTAGGATCTAACCGCCGCCGCCCACTGGCTAAAAATTGAAGCCAGCTTTTTTCTTCTTTTGCTTTATTTTTCTCTGTAAATGTTAACACCATATTTTTAGATCGGCGTCGAGTTCCGTTGGCAAAGACGGTGGCACGGTACTGTTAATTGAGTGTCAATGGAACCGATCGATTTTTAGATTTTTTTAGAGATTGTTTCTATAAGTTATAGGGAGCAATGCTACTTCCTTAAGTAGTGTCAAAGCTTCTTTTTATTTTCTTTTCTTCATATTTAGCGCTCTACCGCATAAGAGCAACTCCAAGGGAGAGTGTAAAATTTGGTAGTGTATATCATAGTTTTCAGAATCGGATCGGCGATCGAACCAGTCGAGGTACTGGTTCACTGGTTGAACCAGTGGTTCGAACGGTTGAACCAGTGGTTCAAACATTTTTGAAAATATGTGTGTGTGTGTAACTACTTCTTCAATCTAAAAATAATTAAGTTATTTATAATATATGACTAAAGTTATAATCAATTTAATTAATTGGAATAGTAGCATTAAATTGATAAAATTATATATTACTCCCTCCATCCCCTGTATTTGTCCACTTTCATTTTTGCACACCATCCAATGCACTTCTTTAATCCATTTTATCTTGTAATTTTTATATCAAAAAATTATATATTAATAATATATATGTTAAGACAAATCAAACAAGATTACACATGACTATATTTAGGCTTACACATTGAGAGAATTTGATGAGTCAAAGTGCTTAGATAAACAGTTCCAAAAGTCAAATGTGGACAAATACAAGGGGACGGAGGGAGTATGAAATATTTAAAAATTATATTGAAAATTTTATACTCATAAAATAGAAGGATATTTTTTTAAATAATTTGTCGAATGTTTTCAAAACTTATTTAACTTAAAAATATCATTGATATGTACTACTCCCTTCGTCTTTGAGTATTTTTTCACTTTTGAATTTTTTGGTCAAAATTGGTAAACTTTGGCCTTAAATTAAATAAAAATGATATTAGATATTGATACAAAAAGAATTATATTAAATTTATTATATCAAATATTTTCAAAACATTATTTTATTTAAATAAAATACAATGTATATTTTATTTAAAAGGTCAAAGCTTGAAAACAGTTAACAAAAAAAGTCAAAACTAGAAAAATACTCAGGGACGGAAGAAATGTATTTGTAGAATACGTAGTATTTAAAAGTTTATAGTATTATATTTTTTTAATGTTTTATGAAAAGCAAGCATTTTAGAAATTTTTTATCAGGATATGAAAGAAATGACACAAGAAGACTCTAGCTAATAGGGGCGGGCACGAAAACCGTTCCCGTTGACCCATTCCGAAACGTGCCGGAACCGTTTTGAAATTGTACCTTTTTTTTGGATTCAAATTTTTTTGTCCCGAACCCATTCTGTCCCGATTTTAAGTGGGACATTACCGGGATAACATACAAGTGTACCGTTCCATCCCGTTTGTCCCGTTTTATATACTCTTCTAAAAACATTATATATATATATATATATATGTATGTATGTATGTATGTATGTATGTATGTATGTATGTATATATATGTGTGTATATATGTGTGTGTGTGTGTGTGTGTATATATATATATATAAACACACATATATTACTCCGTACGTATCTCGTGAAACATTTTGAGTACTTAACAATTAATACTTGTTGACATTGTTGTAGCATTTATTTTCAATCTTTTTGTTTTCAATTTTTATTATTGTCCTAAAATTAGGAAAAAGTAGGACAATCCGAATCCGTTCTGTTTTGTCCCGGTCCCGAAAATTATGGGACAAAGTCGGATAGGCTTGTGGTTCGAACCGTTCCGAACCGTTTGAATATAACGGGACAGGACGCGGGATTTTAAGAAACCCGAACCGTCCCGACCCGTGCCCACTCCTAGTAGCTAAGGTGGTTGTTAGGCAGATATAGTGATTGGGAGTTCTAGGGTTCGAATCCTAACATCGTCTCATTTTGGAGGATTTTCGCAAATAAAATAAAGGAAATCGGTTTCTGGATTTCCGGGCGGTTCATGTCGGTTCACATCGGGTCGTAGCAGAGTTCGGTCTTTTGGCCCGGACCGGTTTGGTCACCGGTTCGCCGGTTCCCAGTACTGGCCGGTCCGGTCCAATTTTTAAAACTATGGTGTATATCACATTTTACATTATCAATAATATTTTACCTTTCCCATTTTTTATACTATTCTAATCATATCTTTTATATTGCACACTTTCTTAAAAATTATGTCAAGTCAAACTATGAGTCTTTTTCTGAGTAGAAGGGAGTATTATTTTAAAATTTTGTACTATTCTTTAAAATAAACTCAATGTTGCTCTAGTGGCAGAGTGACAGATTCAGAGGTAGAAGTTAACATTGTTTCCTAACGAGTGTCTGAGTGAGACAAGTTTTAGTATGTTAATTTGATCATCCACGCGAATGGAGAGTTAGCTAATACGAAACCTTGCCAATTGTATGAGATAAACGATGTAGAAATTTTATATGGAGGAAGAATAACGTTGTGAAGCAACGTTAAGAAGTCTGATAATTGAAGAACGAAAATAATGACTTGATAGAGAATAACGAATCATGTAGAACACTTTCAGATTAAAATTAATGCAGGGGATATCAAAATACTTTAATGTATCTTCAAAAAAAATGCTTTAATGTGATATGATATTAACTCAAGAACACCCACTTTGAAATCAATCCTTCAACCATACCAATGTTTCTATATTTGTAGAGACGAAAAAACACGACTAGACATGTTCCTTCGAGTGGAGACGTCTTTCTGCGAAGAGTTGTTTAGGCCCCCCGTCAATGGCTGCCACCCCTTAGACCTCGGTACTGGAGGTCTGCCCCTTTGACCTTTCTACGGTTGCGCCTAGGGGTGTTCATTCGGTAAAACCAAACCGAACTGAAATTTCGGTAAATTGAAATTTCGGTAATTTATTTTTTTACCAAATACCGAACCGAAATCAAATGGTTCGGTTCGGTAAAAACCAAATTAAATCGGTTTGGTAATCGGTTTTACCAAAAACCGAACATAAACTAAAATTTGAACTTTAAAAAATTCATTTCATTCTTCAAATTGAAAATAACAAAGCATAATCCATTATATATAAGTCCATTACACACTCCAAAATTAAAATAAAGCAGCACAATTAGAACCATTACATAAATTAAACAAAATAGTTGATACAAATAACAGAATTGTCCATTCCGAAATATAAAAACATTTACCAGTATTATTAATTTCATGCTTTCATTATTTTTAATCTTAAATAACTCTAAATTTAGATAATAAGACTTAAAATTAGTGGGGTGGATATTCATTATTTCAATATTGGGATAGATATTGGGAATTGAATTGAGTACCAATGGATAAAATTATTACATAAGTATTAAATAATTTCGGTATTCGGTTTTTACCGAAATACCGATTCTAAATTTTGTACCGAACCGAAAACCGATTTTTCCAAAATATGAGAACCGAATACCGAACCGAATTATTCGGTTCGGTTTCGGTACGTACCAAATTTTTCGGTTTCGGTTCGGTCGGTTTACCAAATTGTGCACACCCCTAGTTGCGCACTTGCGCCTTCCACAATTTTGCTCCTTGGACCCCGCTAAAGGTTGCCACCCTCGGACCTCGTTATGAATTTGTAATATCGTCGAATGAGTGTACACTTCGCACCTCCTAACTTGCTTGAAAATATCTATTCAAAATCTTGTCTGATCTAAGTAAACCAAATTAGATAAAATAGCTAATGACACTAAAATCACCAATAAATAAAAGAAAGTAGCAGGTAGAAATTTGCCACTCCACCACCACCACCTCCTCCTCCTTCTTTTCCCGTTTAAGAATTCCACCGCATCTTAAAATGTGAAAGGATACATTTGATACTCTATCCGTCTAAAAATTAACTTCCCGTTTCGAACAAAGTACAAAATCTCATTAGTTTTAAAATTATTTTCCGTGAAATTGTATACAAATAAAAGGTACTCTCTCCGTCCCGTTTTAAATCGTCTGTTTTGACTTTTGGGCAAATTTAAAGAAAAGAAAAATAGAGTTGATTTTCTGAAATTGTCATTACCTTTTAGAAGGGGTGACAATAAATGAAAAGATAAAGTGGAGAAGAGTGACTTATTTTAGGGGTATTTTAGGTAATTTACTCTTAAAAGTTTACGATAACAAGTAATATGCAACTTATTTTGGGACGGAGAAAAAAGACAAGCAGGCAATTTAAAATGAGACAGAGGGAGTACATATTACATATTTCTAAATTTAATCAATAGTTCACTAGTTCAATGAAATAAGATTGTAAACAATAATACTTTATTTTATCAAATCATCAATGAAAATACATAAATAAATAAAAATTATCGAAAATACAGAATAATTTTCAGACGGTTAATTCGTGAAAGTAGGGAATATATAAGAAAAAAGTGTCAATTTAATTGGACCTTATTGAGAAGCATATTTTTTTTTTACATATCTCCATTCATTTATAGCTTATTCTAATTTTTAAAAATAATACAATACTCCGTAGTATTTTAACTAACGCTCTTATCTTGTTTTACAATAACTTTCTTCCAAGCCATGGGCCCAAGGCCAAGGAGGCTTCCACGAAAGCCATTCTAGTCGGTGCTCCCAAAAGTATGAAAATAACTTAGTGGCCGATCCAAAAATTGTGATTGTAAGAATCCACAATAATAATTTAAAGGATGAGTCTCATCTGAGTATTTATAGAGGTCTTATACTATAGTTGACTCTCAGAGCAATATTCAAGAATCAAAACAGGACCTTATTCCCTCAGCACTCTCCGTCTAAAAATTAACATTCCGTTTCGAATAAAGTTCAAAATCTCATTAGTTTTAAAATTACTTTCCATCAATTTGTATATAAATAAAAGGTATAAATTACATATTTCAAAATTACATCAATATTCAATGAAATAAAATGTAAAAGAAAATATTTTATTTTATCAATTTTTTAATAAAATACACAGATAAATAAAAATGATCGAAACCGCGAAATAATAATCGAAAAATGAATTTGTAGGAGGGACTATAAAAGAAAAAAGTGTCAATTTAATTGGACCTTATTGAGAAGCATATTTTTTTTTACATATCTCCATTCATTTATAGCTTATTCTAATTTTAAAAAATAATAATTTTTTTTAACTAACGGTCTTATCTTGTTTTACAATAAGTTTCTTCCAAGTCATTAGATCACATGATCTGATCCAAAGACTGGTCTATTTCCTCAATCAATTCTTCGTAAGACCGGCGGAGAACCGGATCCCGGTGGCCGGCAACCACGACATGCCATCAATAAACCGCTGAACCGTGAAATAACCGGCAGTCGGCGCATTCCTAATAACGTGATAACCGGGCCAGCGAACCCGACCCGACAATGAAGAACCCGGCCCATAATTCTTATACTCCCCGTACCACAACGTGTTCAAAGCGAAGTCTCCGTACCACTCCAACCACCCTCTGGGCTGGACCATCCCGCTCATGAAAGTATTCATAAACACGACCCGCGAAAACTGCTTCCAGGGCCGGCCCAAATAAGTGGGCTGGGAAGCGTAAATGTAACTGTCCTGGATCGAGAAGCCCGTGTTCTGATCCGGGCTTTTCCGGCCTTGGGCCGTAATCGTCACCTTCTGGAGCGGGAGCGGCTTCCGGGTGAAGATCCGGCAGTTTTGGAGCACGGCGGCGCCGTTGCCGAAGATGAAGTCGATGGTGCCGGAGATGGAGCACTCGCGGAAGAACTGGCGGAGGGAGTGGGCGTAGAGGGTGTCCTGATACCCCTCCATGCTGCACCGGAAAAACGCTGATTGGTCGGAATCCACCCTGAGCGCCACCGCCTGGAAGTTCTGGGGGCCGGCGGTGTTCCGGAACGTCATGTCCCTTGCGATGAAGCCTTTCCCGGAAACGGCTGCACCATTAAAAGTTAGCTCAACCTTATAATTTGTTGTTTTTTTTATTTACTCACTCCGGTCTCACAAAACATTACTCATTTTGAATAGTATTTGGTTAAAACATTACACAATTTGAGAAAAATATATTAAATATAAATTTAATATAATAGGATTAGTCTTAGAATCTAGTTTTGACAAATCAAAATTTTATAACATTTCTTTATTTAGATTATATTTAATTTATAGTCAGAGCGTGTAACTATTTGACCAAAAATACCATAGTTTTAAAAACCGGACCGGACCGGCCGGTTCGGACCGTGAACCGGCGGTCCAACCGGTCCAGTCCGGCCCATTAGACCGTAACAAGCTTCGAACCGGTCCGAACCGGTTTAAACCGGTAAGAACCGGCCAGTCGGACCGATCTGACCAGTTTTTTTTTTTTTTTTTTTTGCAATCTTTTTCCAAAACTTCACTCCATGGGGGGTTTGTAACCAAGACCTCTTAGATATCTAATTGAGTTACTAACCATCCAACTAACGGTACTTGTTGTTACAAATTCGTACTATACTTTATAATATTTCATAATTAATTAAAAAATTTCATACAAATAACTTTACAATTTTAAAAATATAATACGTAGTATTATATAGATATGAGTCGGACACAAAATCATTGATATTTTTTTAAATAAAATTTTAATACCGAGTATTATTTTTTAATATGTAAATTTTATCATTTAATTGAGTAAAATAACTCAAGTATATTAATATAATTTTAGTCAAATATTATAAATTACTTTCTTTATGTATTTATATATGGGAATGTGTGTGTGTGTGTGTGTGTGTATATATATATATAAAGGTTCTGGTGAGAATGCAATCTTAGGAGAGAAATGAGAATGAATCTGGTGTTTTAGATTGTGATATCTAAGGGCCAGGATTGCATCAAAATCAGATGCAACAAAATGGTTTAAAAATGCATCACGTCGAAATGCACCACAATCCTTCAAAAATGCACTATCTCAAAATCTGAGCGCATGATGCAATCTGAGCCGCACGATGCATCAGATCCAACGGCTAGATTTTATTCTCATTTCTCTCCACAAGATGCATTCTCACAGGAACCAACCCCTATATATATATATATATATATATATATATATATATATATATATATATAATTTTTAAATATGTTTAAACCACCGGTTCGACCAGTTGAACCACTGGTTCGACCAGTAAACCAGTGAACCAGTATCTTGACCGGTTCGGTCACCGGTCCGGTTCTCAAAACTATGAAAAATACATCAATATGGGTAATGTTTTGTGAGAGGGAGTGAGTATTTGTTTGTTTCCAACCCATAAATTATGCAACGCATTATGGGTGCATGTAAAAATTGTTGAGTTTTAGGGAAAGTTTTATGGACGCAATCTTATTTGACAACTTTCACATAAAAAATATTTTATGACAAATCAAAAAATATACCGTTGAAATTTATTTGGATGAGATAATTAAAAGATAATATGGTATTTATACTTTTAAAGAAAGTAAAAATGTAAAGTTGAATTAATACATCCAACAAGGAAAATTGTGGCGACTCATTTCATGGTTAGAGGGTTTGATCCGTGTCTGGTTATCTGGAGTGGATCTCTGTCCATCCGGTGATTATTTGTAAGAAATATTTGTAATGCTTTGCACCAGGATGTTTTGAATTAATGGCAAGTTACTTTTAAAGAAAAACAAGGAAAATGGTAAGGCTTAATCAAAGACAGAGAGAATATATCATGTAATTTCCTTTTTTACGCCACATTTGAAATATTGTTAAATCCTGAACTAATAAAAATAAGAAAGACATGTGCAAAAACATATTTTAGGTTTTTTAAGTGAAGTATTTGTGTTTCTAAATTAGCGTTAAATTTGATTTCTCATGATCAATTATGCAAATACTCTGACTATATAAATCTTCATCTTCAATTAAACAAAAACTGCAAAGCATATTAGTATAAAAATGACTTTATTATATTATGCTCTTGAGAATTTTCTAAATTTTATGAGTACTTAAGCTTAAAAATTTTCAACTTTGACAAATAGAGGGAAAGGTAAATGGTGCATACCAAAAGTGGCGGTTCGAAATGTGGTCCAGCCCTGCATGAAGTTTCTGTTACCGGAGACAACGGTGGCTCCAATCCCATCTCCCACAAGCATAATATTACTCTTCTTCTTCTTCATGTCAACATTCTCATGATAAACCCCTCTCTTCACATATATCACATACCTCCTCTTGCTATTATTCGGGGCCGCCGACACCGCCTCTCCGATGGACCGGTGGTGCCCGCTCCCGTCCAACGCCACCACCGCGTCCACATGCATCCCGCGGGCCCCGGGCCTCGACGCCGCCGCCACCACCTCCCTGTCTCCCTCGCTCATCCAGCTCGGGAACTCCCCCGCGGGCCCCGCCGCGTTCCTCGGGGGCCCGAAGGGGAGCTCACGCAGCTGGACAGACAGTGCCAGCACGTTGCCGATCAGTTGCGTGACCTGCGCCAGGCCCCCTCGGAGGAAGCTCTGGAGGCGCCTGTCCGTCCCCTCGAACCCCTCGAGGCACGTGTCCTGGTTGCCGAGCGCGGCGCTGAGCCACGCTCTGAGGTTCCCCTCGGAGTCGGGCCGCCCGCGGCCGGCCCGGACCTCGCGCATCTCGCCCAGCGACCACGCGAGCTCCGCGACCGAGAAGTCGAGGAGCTCGCGGCAGTCCTCGATGGCGATCTGCTCGCGAGGGGAGACAGAGAAGGGGTTGAATTTGTTCAGGGAATCAGTTGCTAGCCTAACCTCTGCGAGGGAGTGGTGCATGGCGGCTCTCAGGACAGTCGTGGCGTCGCGACGGGTGTCGTTTTCGACCCTCGAGCGTATGCCCTGGAGGCACGACCCCGGGTTTTCGACGCCGTCACAAGCCCGGGTGATCATGTCCTCCAGCATCTGGGATTGGTGTATGGGGATAGCCTTCAACTCATCATTATTGGATGATGATACAATTGATGGGAGAGAAGGGTAAAGAATGAGGGCAAGAAGTAGTAGAAGAGAATGTGGAAATGCCATTGATGAATTTTTGGTTTTTGGGAATGGGCATGCAGTGATTTAAATTAGTACTACAACTAACAAAAAGTCCGTAGAATTAAAAAAAAGAATGTTACGAAAAGTTTAAACGTGACATTTTTGAGTTTCTTTTGATGAAAGGTTTGAGTGATGCTTCCTTGTAGTGTGTGACATGGTATAAACCTGCCTTGTTTTCTAGCGGTTCGATCTGCTCCGTATGTGTCCAAACAAAGGAAGAGGTAATTTTGTTGTCTATTTAAATGGAAACAGCAAATTTTTAAGTGTCCCCAACAAGTATGGTGACCTCCAAATCCCCATTTATAGAAAAATATTTTTGTTTAATTTTATTTTGTCAAATTGTGAGAATCTTTGATCACAAATTTTGAAAAAACACTGGGTAGTTTATATTACTTCTCGCTTTTTTCTAAATATTAATCCCATAATTTTATTTTTATTATTATTTTTTTGGTAAATTTTGTGAACATGTAAGATTAGTTTGGAACAAAAAGAATAACAATGTTTGACTTAAGTTTGTTTTTTTAATACTAACTAGTATATTACAATAGACAAATGCTTTCGTAATCCTTAAGGGTCCGTTTGGTACACAAAATTAATAGAATTGGAATTGAATTGGAATTAAAATTCCATGGGATTCCAATTCCATAGAATTGAATTCATCAATTCCAATTTTTTTTTGCACTACCAATTCTAAATCCACATAATTTTTGTACTACCAAACACGAAAATTGGAATTCAAGACCTCAAATTCAACTCCATAGTTTGAATTCCATGTACCAAACATGACCTAAGTCCATTTCATTTTAGTATATGTATCCTTAAAACATTAGGTCTTTTACAAAATAGGAAAAGATTCATGTGTCAACCTATAAAAGTGTGATAAGGTCCAATCATTCATTAGGCAGTCCAATTTACATTCTTGCAATTTCATTTTTTTTCTTGCTCAAAATATGTTTACAAATCATACCACTTTGTACAAAATATACATCACAATTTCCTTTTTTGTTTTTATACAAGAATTTTTCAACTATGAGATTATATCACAACATTTTACCTACACATAAATGCATGGGTAAAAATACAACTTCGTACAATACCTACATAATTCAATCTCGACCGATGTATGGTGACTGGTTAATAATTTAATATCTCTCCCCCCCCCAAGTTGAGAAGTTTCATTACACTTCCCTTGTGAGGGTAACCAATTTTCTTGCAACGCGTCAACAGAAATCGTAAAACTTTGTCATCTTACCTCTCAAACGCCGTATGTTATATGCCAATTCAATTCATTACACCATGCTTGTACAAGCCATCGCTTCCTTCAGCTTGAGAATGTGCCAATGTTGCGCGACCAGAAAGCCCTGAAACATAATCTATTTCTTGTGGGCCCGTCACGGCCTTGGCATGCCAGTGCCAAGGCCAAACATGAGGCGTACCGGCGTGAGATGAGAACAAATATGAAGGGTGGATGATGACCGATCCCCAGTCTTTGTTCCCAAACTTGGCTTCTTTTATTCTTCTTCTCACCAAAAGCCTCGCGGCGTCTTCTTTTTTTACCTTTGACACACTTTTGGCTATTGACATGCACAAAAGAAGTAGGAACACGGCATCTTCTTCTGGCGAAAACTCTAGTGTCAGTAGCTTCCAGTGCAGAAGCGCAGTGGCCTTCCCTGTTGGGTCATCCTCAGAGAACCTAACTAGTGTCAAAAACCCACTTTCATCTTCTTCTTCATCACAAACTAGGTCACTTGCCCTTCCTGTGAAAGTCTCATAACCCATCTTCCGCCCTTCGACCAACTTTATCTGCAGCCATTTTGGGGAAAGTGATGCAGAGGAGATAAAAATTATGAGGGCCGCAAATTCTTTTCCAAAAGTGAAAAGTGAAACCTTTTTTTGAGACGAACGAAAAAGGAAATGTGGAGCTCTTTTATGGGACGGAAGGAGTATAAGTCAAAAAAAAGTGGGACGCGCAAAAAAGGTAACAAAAGAAATGGAGTACAACAACAACAACAACCCAGTTGAATTCCACTACAGTAGGGTCTGGGGAGGGTGTGTGTACGCAGACCTTGCCCCTACTCGGAAGTAGGGAGGCTGTTTCCAAGAGACCCCCGGCTCAACCTGCACAAAAATATGGTAGAGAACACAATATAACAGGGTAACAGGATAAAGCACCAAGTACAAGGAAATGAAAGTCCAAGAAGCAAAAGTAGAAGATTCCAATCAAACACAACACAACAACAACAACAACCCAATTGAATCCCACTACAGTAGGGTCTGGGGAGGGTGTGTGTACGCAGACTTGCCCCTACTCGAAAGTAGGGAGGCTGTTTCCAAGAGACCCCCGGCTCAACCTGCACAAAAAATATGGTAGAGAACACAATATAACAGGATAACAAGATATAGCAGGATATAACAAGATAAAGCACCAAGTACAATGAAATGAAAGTCCAGCAAGCAAAAGTAGAAGATACCAAACAAACACAACACACTACAAAAACCTCTACAGCACCGAGCTCCTAACCAGCTACTCTAATCCTAGTCCTCCAAAGGTTCCTATTTAAGGCCATATCCTCAGTCAGGGTGAGAAGTCCTAAATCCTGCTTAATCACCTCCTTCCAATTCTTCCTAGGTCTACCCCTTCCCCTACTTCCCCCGATAACCGTGATCCTCTCGCACCTCCGCACAGGGGCATCAACATCCCGCCGTCTCACATGCCCAAACCATCTCATCCTCGCTTCCCGCAACTTATCCTCCACCGGCGCCATGCCTACCTGACGTCGGATAACTTCGTTCGAAATCCTATCCAACCTTGTCTTCCCACACATCCATCTTAACATCCGCATCTCTGCCGCATGCAAACGACGCACATGAGTCTTCTTAACCGCCCAACACTCTGCCGCGTATAACATAGCAGGTCTGACTACGGATCGGTAGAACTTACCTTTCATCCTGGGCGAAATCTTCGGGTCACACAACACCCCTGAGGCCAACCGCCATTTGGCCCAAGCCACTCCAACACGATGTCCAACATCCCCGTCTAATTCCCCATCTGCCTGGATTACCGAGCCAAGATATCGGAACCTGTCTACCTTAGGTACTACGTGAGAGTCAATCCTAACTTCCACTTCTGATTCTGTTTCCCGGCCGCTGAAACGA